GCTGGCATGGACTTAACAGCTTCGATTTTAGCTGGGTCTGCCTTTAGACCCTCAGCTGTTATTAGGTGTCCTACATATGGCACAGAAGATTGCTTGATGTGGCATTTGTCGAAGTTGAGGCTCAGATTGTAACTTGTGGCTCTCTGAATTACTTTATGGAGGATCGCATCATGCTCCTTCTCTGTGGGTGCTGCTATCAGGATGTCGTCCATAATGCTTATCGCACCACTGATCCCCTCAAGCGTTTCATCCATTATTCTCTGAAAAATCTCAGGTGAGCATTTCAAGCCAAATGGAAGCCTCAGCCACCTAAACCTCCCAATGGGCGTGTTGAAAGTTGTCAACAGAGATGATGCTTCATCCAGTTCTATCTGCAAGAACCCAGATTTCGCATCCAGAACTGAGAAGACTTTAGCACCCGGGATTGCGGAGATTACTTCTTCAATGGTGCGCATCGGGTAGTGCTCCCTCTTTATGGCCTTGTTTAAATCACTCGGATCAATGCAAACTCTTATCTTGCCATTCCGAACAGCTGTTACCATTGAACACACCCACTCAGCCGGTTGGTCGACTTTGGTGATGTATCCCATTTTGACCATCTCTTGCATTTTCTCTATTATTTTCTTTCTGAGCGCCGCTGGTTGACGTCGGACTGGATGAACTACACTTTTTGCGTTTGGGTCAATTTTGATTGTGTATTTGTCCGGCAAATTTCCCGTAGTATGTGCCAACTCTGGATAATCATCTAGCCCAGCTGGCACATTCTGTGTTTTCATTGCACCACTGGAGCATTTTTCTTAGTTTTTCAGGTTAGTTGGCTGCAATGCATCCAGGCGAATGACTAAACCTAGTGTTTCAGCCGTTTCACCACTCAGCTCATTTTCTTGTGAGATATCCACAATCTCAAACTCTGCTATTACAAGTAGCACTCTTGTATTTAATTCTAAGATCAACTGCTGCTACTGGTTTCAGCTTGTGGTTAGAGTATGACTGCAGAACTCGATGTAAACGTTTAAGCTCACCAGCGTGTAAATCAATGTATTACACTTTGCACCAGTATCAATTCTGAATGGCACTTTCTGTGACAGAATTTCAATGTCTGCTGTCCATTTGTCACTACTTTCTTCCTTTGTCTGTGTCAAATTAATGTTGAGAATTTCCTCCTATATCGTTTCTGATTCCTCCTCAATGCTTACTGTGTTGACGGATCTTTTGCAACATACTGCCACCCAGTGGTTTGGCTTGTGACAGTAGGAACAGACAGAGGCTTTTGCTGGGCATTTTCCTTGATTCCACTTATGCTGTGCGTCTTTGCCACAACTTGTGCACTTTTTGGGCCAGTTTACATGCATTTCTTTCTGATCATATTTTGTTTGATTCTTTTGATAGGCCTTTTTGTTTGCCACTTGATATTTTGTTTTCACATGCACTGCTCACACTTGAGACTCTTCTTCCCTGACGATTTGAATTTGCTTCTGTGAAAGTTCGAATTGCTGAGCAATTTCAAGTGCTTTCGGCAGCATTAAGTCTTCTCCTTTGTCTAACAGTCTTTATTGGACGCGCTTCTCTCTGACACCCACGATTTATTGCATCGATCAACATGTCATCGCAATCCATTAGTATAAGTCTCGAGTCCTTCACAAAGTGGTCAAAACTCTCAGCATTACCTTGCTTTCTTTGTTCAAAACGGTGTCTGGCTCAAGGTTAATTTCGTAAACGAAAACTAAAACAAAGACGAAAACGATTGATGAAAAAACTATTTCGTAAACTGAAATAAAATGAAAACGTCAGAATATTTGAAAAACTAAAACGAAATTAAACTAACAACAGTTATTGAAAAACTAACTGAAATAAAATAATAATTATCAGAAATAAAGAATCGTTTTCATAATCATTACGTTCTCATCCCTTGGCGGAAAAATATATGAGATGTGTGGCGCCGGCGGTTTAGGGAAATACCTGGAAATGGCGCATCACGTACGTGAGGTTATCTGACGGAGAGACACAAAGCAGTTTAAAGCAGGGTCCTGCACGGGTCCTGTTTGGTAAACCTGCACCAGCAGTACGTAACAGAACACCCGACCCGTTACCCGACAGCAGCACTAATTTATTTCTATACCAGACCAGGGGTGCGTTTCCCAGAAGCAACTATGGTCGCAAGTTCCGTCGTTACCAATCGACTTCAATGGAACTAACAACCGTAGTTAGCTAACGATGCTTTTGGGAAACGCACCCCAGAACCGTTTGACAGAGTCCCGAACCGAACCCGCATTAATCTACAACATCAGGTAGGCAAAATTATTTATTTTCTCATGTAACACAAGCAATCAAACCAACATTAGGCATGTTGGTGCTTTGAAGATAAACAGACACGCAGAGCAACATAATTAACAGAAAAAAAGATGAGAACACGCCTTTCTGTAAACAATACAAAACTTTAGCCTAGCATTTTGTGATCACTCTGCCAGGCTTTCGGACAGATGTGCATAGGCTAAATCACATCATACACACGCTTATAATTCTTCATAAATAAAGAAAAGAACATATTCAAATATGAGCTTTATTGTTAAATATGATTGCCGTTATTATTAAATTTCATTAGTTCCAGTTATGATTTATGCGCGGCTGTTCACGGAAAAGTGAGCAAGACACGACAGTTACAATATCATGATTATGGTTAAATAAGATAAAAGACATATAACCAAATTAGGCTACAATTATTTTCATATTAAATATCTCAACACACATCATTGGATATGGCATTAAGCGCAACTTGTATAGATTCATTTAGTAAAAAAGGCTTGACTGCTTTCTTTGGCGTATATTTGTATACTTTTACTATCTGATCAATCTCAGCATGCGTTCATTTTGTGTCGCTAGACGTTTGCCTCACTAAGGTTAAATTATGCCTACGTCTTTCTTTGGCCTGCGCTCTGGAAGTGATCTGTTAATTCTGCTTTCAAAACTATAATAACCTTGGTCTGGCTATCCTCTTATTCTTTCTCAGCCTTATGTAGCGGGCGAATTTGTCCAAAACTTTGAAGGGATCATTTCTCTCACCTTCCGCCCAGCTGAACGTCTTGTAGATTTCCAGGCCTTGTTCGCCGATCCACGTACACAGCCAGCCTGCGCGCTGCTTCGCGGTTAGCTCCGATAACGGGCCTTCGAAGACGAACGTGACGTGACTTCGAAATCTTTCGAATTCTTGATACAAATCCGGAGCGTCCCAGTCGATTTTTGGGTGATCGAACTGCGAGGATGCCATACTTCATTATCTGTACTTAGCAGAGTGTTTCTTAACATTAATACATTACACGCTGCATTGTGATTTATAACTAATGCTTGCTCACATACTCACTTGTTTGCTGAATAACAATGTAGGTTAGTCCTCTTTATATCAAAAAAGGAAATTCATATAATAATTGTATACTCTAAAGGCACTATGCTTCCAAATTACTAGTCTTTTATGTTTGCGTAGAAAGAACTATATCACTAGATCATCAAATGGGAATCGATTAGAAATACCTGGGGTATATTCAGAGCACGGAAAATCAGCTTTCTCTTACTATGCTCCTTGGTTGTGGAATACTTCTAAAAAGCTATTGCAGTGTATAATGATTGAACATATCGCTGTTTTAATTAATTTGTTATATAATTGTTAATTATAATTTTGCTTAGTGTCTGCCTTTGTTTATGCTCCTGTGGCTCAGTGGTAGAGCATTGCATTAGTGGCGCAAAAGGTCATGGGTTCAATTCTCAGGGAACACACATACTGGTTAAAGATAAATGTACAGCCTGAATGCACTGTAAGTCTCTTTGGATAAAAGTGTCTGCTAAATGCATAAATGCATAAACTTTTGTATGGTCATCTTGGCCAGGACTCCCTTGAAGAAAATATGAATTTTTATCACAATGGGACCTTCCTGGAAAAATAAAGGATAAAATTACAAATATAAAATAAAAAATGGGCTTTTCATCAGCTCACAAACCCCTTTTGGGAAACTCTGTTTTACACAATAGTAAAAGCATTTGAAAAGGCATTAGTAATGAATTCATGAACATTTTTTTTAATGTTCAGTTTGGATCATGGAGGACATTTTAGGATCACACCAGGTCTGCGAAAATGTAAGTCCTCACACACACAAACACCTATGAATATTTAAAAATAGGGATGCACCGAAATGAAAATACGTGGCCAAAGCTGAAGCCGAATATAACGAAACACTTGGCCGAAAGCCGAATACCGAACACGATTGGTCACATTTTTCATTTATTTTGCCAGTTTTTTCCACCATTGCATAAATTAAATAGTCAAAATGTGCTTTTTGTCTTGCTTTTCAAAGAATTCAAAAATATTTAACATGTTTTAAACATTCCAGCAGACGTTACACCAACAAAGCACAATATAACATAAAATAAATGAATTAAAATGAGTAAAATACAAATATTTTTATTTGGCCATCTTTGAGCCCCCCGTCTTGAGTAGCCTATATTATGCTCATAACTGACTGCTGAAAGAATGTAACATACTCTGTATGTATGAATGAATGATGCATTTATATAGCGCTTTATTGTGTATTGCTGTACACCCAAAGCACTTTACAATCATGAGGGGGTCTCTCCTCAACCACCACCACGACGGCAGCCACAGTACAACAGCGCCAGTGCGAAAGAGTGCAAAAAAGTGGATGAACCCACAAAATATTTGTCCTAGACATAAGCCTACTTATGGCCGCGAGAACTAGGGGTGCTGCAGCACCCCCTGCTGACAGCTGTTTTACTGCACTGGAATTTAAAATTCTAATTTTCCACAATTGTTCATGAAATGACTCTAAAGAGTATTTAGTTTTTATATGTTGTTGAATGTGGTTTGTGACTTCTGGATCACAGATGGATCTTTAGAATGACACTTAAAAATGTTTCCACATTGCCGACATGTTTTCTGCATTTTTAAGTGTGCGCGCCTCTCACTCTGCGCTGGTTGCTATTTGATCGCGTGATTAAAAACGTGATTGTTCGGTAAAATGTATACAGTCTTTTCACTTATTCGGCCGAACACCGAAAGTGCTTTTTTTGCTATTTTTGGACGAATAATTTAAGTTGCCCAACATTCGGTGCATCCCTATTTAATAATGACGTAGATGTTTTGATATGCCTTTTTGTGTTCAGATGCCTGTGATATCACACTGGATCCAAACACAGTGCACACTCAACTCATCCTTTCTGAAGGGAACAGAAAAATAACATGTGTGAAAGAGCATCAGCCGTATCCTGATCATTCAGAGAGATTTGAGCGCTTTGAGCAGATTCTGTGTAGAGAGAGTCTGACTGGACGCTGTTACTGGGAGGCTGAATGGAGCAGCTCGGGTCATGTAGCAGTGGCATATAAAGGAATCAACAGGAAGGGAGGAATTGATTGTTGGTTTGGACTCAATGAAAAGTCCTGGAATATTTACTGTTGTGATATGATTTACACTGTCTGGCACAATAATAAGAGCACAGATATTCCTCGCTCTTCATCCTCTCATAGAGTAGGAGTGTATCTGGACTGGTCGGCCGGCACGCTGTCCTTCTACAGCATCTCTGACACACACACACTCACACACTTACACACATTCAACACCACATTCACTGAACCCCTCTATGCTGGGTTTAAGGTTTATTCTGATTCTTCCGTGTTTCTATGTCAGATTTAACAACATTCCTGTGAGGAACTGCAGAGACACAAGTGGAAAAAAAATCCGCATCAAATAATTTCTACATATAGTGCGAAGGGATATTAATAGTGGCCAAGTAAAAATAGAACACTAGGCTTTGAATTTAAAGATGAATTTGAATTCAAAACTTTCTGAGCAGTTTCACTCCAATGAAAACCGTGGCATTCAGTGCATCAACAAGGCGTCCATGTTTTATTCTACTCAAAATGAATTACATTACATTAAATATAAATTAATTTAATATTAATATTTCAATGTTGCACCATGAAAGTAACTTTTAAGTGTCAGATTCATTGAAAATTGCACTTTAATCTAACAGCTTGACTGTGTAATACTGGGTTACTAAATCTTTGCACGTGGTAAATCACCCCTTATGCAACGACAATATATTTCTTAACCCTTTGACGCGTACGATCACACCGGTGTGATTAGACCGTTCAGTGCGTCACGTGATCAACTGCCGAACTCAAATCTGCTTT